TATTCACAAACTTGACTTAACAACTCAAGAAAGAGACTGCAGAAGATAGTGGTTAAAAGTGCAGATTCCTTAGTGAGTGCTGGCTTTGCCACTTACAGTTGTGTGAGACCTTGTTCAAGTTCCCTCTCTGTGCATAGTTTTCTTGTCCATAAAGTTAATTCTTGTAAAGCACTTGTAACAAAATGTGTCATATTGTAAGCTGCTGATATCACTATTACTAGGGATACTAAAGATCAGTAATTTCATATTACATCTCAAGTGTCTAATATTTGTCACATTTGTAAAAGTGTTAGAAATACCTGACACTTTCCTTTTGTCCCTATGATGTCATGTTGTGGCTGAAGAGGCTGATAAATGCGTGTGGAGTTCTGGTTCCTTGTTTTTCTTGGCCTACTGATTAAGAGCCTGGCCTGTGAAGCACACAGAATTGGGCTCCAATCCAACATTTCTCAGCAGTGAATTCTTTTTTTAGGCGAGGTAAGAGATGCAAAGACATTTGCATTGAAATGAATTGGTTGTTTTGATGGGGAGGGCACTGTCCCGATGTCTCAGTTGAAGATGCTATATTCTGAAAGACTAGAAAGGGCCCGCAGGTGTGGCTCAGTGGTTGAGCATTGACCTATGAACCAGGAGGTCACAGTTCAATTCCCACAGATGCCTGGGTTGTAGGCTTGATGCCTAGTAGGGGGAGTACAGGAGGCAGCTGATCTATGATTCTCTCTCACCATTGATGTTTCAATCTCTTCCTTCCTCTCTGAAATAAATAAAACTATATTTTAAAAAAAGACTAGGAAGGGAGATCATTCATTCAATTCATTTTCAAGTCATGTTCCTGGTCGAAATATGCATTCAGGCAGATCCTGTTTCACATCAGCTGTTGCCAGACAGTCTGGAGAACCACATTTTGGAGTGGGGCTGGTAGCCTAAGCAAGAACTGATGAGCATCAAACCCGTGATTTCATTCTAGAATCAGTTAATGATTCTTTGAACTCAGAATGACTAGTCCTGATTATACCTGATGTTGGGCTCATATGGGAGATGGGAGTTAGTCAAAACTGGGTGTTTTTTGTTTGTTTGCTTTTTTTTTAGCTATTTCTTGTCCCTCCTATTGGTCATCAGTTATGGGCAATGCATGATTTGATTAAAAGTTGGCCAGTGCCACAGCTCACTATCTGTAGGGCTGTTGTTGGAAGAGTTTTCTCTAGTGGGGATGACTCCTGTGGTTAATAACATCTTTGAGCAATTTTTCAGAAGACCCCCAACTCAGAGTACACGGACTTGTAAGGTACTGGGCTGTGCTTAGGAAAGGGGCTGTCTCAAGGAAATAAGGCACAAGGATGGTTCTGTAAAGTTGAAGGGTAAATACATTATGCTCAGCTTGCCATCCTATATAATAAAGAGCTAATATGCAAATGGTTGTCATACCCTCATGCTGTCACACTGTAACGGCTCAGACACTCAACACTGGGGAGAGAGGAATGGGGACCAGCCAGGCACAAATGAGCTTGCAAGAGAGAAATGGGGACCAGCCAGGCTGTGGCCCGGGAGAGGGACAAGCCGCCCACTCCACTGTCCCGGGCACCAGTGGCTGGGGCTGTGACCCAGGAGAGGAACAAGCTGCACGCCCTGCAGTCCCAGGCGCCTTCAGTCCTGAGCGCTAGCAGCTGCGGCACGGGCGAAGCTGCCGGCCCAGGGTCCCCTGCGGCTGCAGCTGGTCCAGGCGAAGCCGGCCTGGGT